GTGGCCCTACCCGGAATTTAAACCTGCACACCTCACTGAAATGTGATATTCAGAAAAAATTGCTCCGCTCCTCTTGGTGCGATTATAGCTGCTGATGATTTAAATTATTTGTTCTCATGTTCCTCTCAATTCGTTGGAATTTTGTTTACTAATCTGCACAAAAATACGATACTACGGGTCTGGTCATTGATTTTCAACAGTCATTTTCTGCCGAGTGCTATAATCTACACTCTACAGTATTACAGTATGTAAAACGAGATTTCCGAAGTACGTGTGTCCTGTGGTCTGTTTTAAGCAAAGGTAGTCTTTTCAATCGGGGAAACGTCAGTGTGAACGTTTTTGTTTCATTATCATGCCTCTTTTCCGAATTTTTCACAGGCGTGAGCAATATTTCTCGGTACATCGCGAGCATTGACAATGGCTACGGGAACTTGTTCGGAATCGACGGTGGGTGGCGAGAACTGTTGGAGAAGGAAGAGTTGATCCGGAAAGCTGATGGACACGAAATCTTGTCCCGAGTATCGCAGTACATCGAGTCATCTTCTGGTTGTCTCCAGTTGCCGATTGCCGAAGCGATGATCACCTACAAGGAGAAGAGCAGTGACGAAGGCTCTTCGCAGGTGTTCATACCGTTCATCAGCGTAAGTGACTGTTTTTGTCAAATTTAATTTCTTGACGCACAGTTTTTGTGTTTAAAAAAAAAAATAAACCGTCTCTGTGCTATGGAGCATTGCTTAATTAATGAACTTTCGTTCATCCCTGGCCATTGAAGTTTTTACCAATGCACTGTTGGCGTTTTTTTTAAATATTGACGTGCTTTTACTATGAGTACCGCGCGCCCTGAAGTAAGACGCACGCCCGTTTTTATTGGAGAAAAAAATGCTAATTTCGTGAAGAAAACCCATCAAAATTTACATTCTTACGTGATTTGGACCCAAGTTGATTTAGATTTTTTTTTTTTCTGTCGAAAAAGATTGTTCCTGAAATTTTCTTCAAATCACATGTGAATGTCCCGCGCCCGCATTTTCACATTTTGAAATGACATTCTAAAAATTTTTAACGCTTGTGACGCAAGCGTTCTTTTTCCTCTCTTGAAAAAAAGTGCATGTGGTACCGAAGTAGATACGTTACATGATTTTTAAATCAAGTTCGAGCGAATACTTGAAATATTTCCGTATATGACTGGAATTGATGCCATTTTTTGTTTTCCGTGAATTTCGTTTCAAAATTTGCTCAACTTTTATTTTTTTTTTCTCGAGGGAAACCTAAACGTTCCTAACCAAATAAGCGCCACTAACCAAATTTGTGGCGGTTCAACAGGGTTCGTGTTTTATGCAAAAACCCAAAATAAAATGGAAATCAAGTACTGTACATTATAATATGAAATACAAATACTGTACTGTACTAAAGTAATTTCCAAAAAGATAATCGAAGTAACATTGGGATACGTTGATTATATATACAGTACTGTAGTGTACTCGTATATCTGTCAATAATCTTGGCTGATGGGGTTTTCAATGTTACAGTCTTATCACTAGGGCAGATTTGTTATTCAAAATAGATTGGCGGTGTCTGAGGGTGACTGGCGTTTCAACGGGGTTCGAAACTGTACATGTACTGTACTGTATAATCTTCTACTTTCCAGGAGGTCCGAATAGCATTTTCTGAGCCCCTCTTCTCTGCATCTGTGGATCTGGACGAGAGTTGCGTGGGACTGTCGCAGGGTAATTCGCCCGGAGGCGTGAATGCGCCCGGAGTCAGCATTAGTGGAGCCACCGGTGGGAACTTGAGTGCAGGTGCAATAGCGATGCCGTCGGCGGCGTCGTCGCCGGCTGGTGCGATTAGCGGATCTCCGCCGTCGAGCTCGCAATTTGGATCTAGTTTGTTGGAGGCCCGGGCGAGGCTAGTGGGCAATACTACACCGCCTTCGTCGCCGAATATCGGCATGAATCATCCCCCGAGTTACAGGTTGGTTTGGTTTTTGAATCTTCATTGTTGGATATTGTTTCGGAAAGGTATACGAATTCATTTTCGAGGCTAATTTTGTGTTGCTCTCTTCGGGGGCTTTTCATTTAACTGTGTACAATTTAGCTATCTGTGTTTTTTTTTTACTGATTTTTTGCTGCACTGTTGAAGGGTTTTTCATTCACCTGTGTATAATCTATCTGTGTGCTTTTTTTTTAAGTCAAGAGAAACATTTTTCTTTCATTTTTGGAGGACTTTCCCCTGTTTGTTTGAAATACGAAAAGGGATTGAACTGTTCCTATCAATGTTTATGGGAGAATATGATCAGACATGTGTATGTTTTGACAAATGAATGAAGTTTGAGAAGCAATTACCGTATTTACTGAAGTACCGCGCACTCCTGAGTAAGACGCGCACGTGGTTTTCTGATCCTAGAATTTGGATAAAAATTAATCCCTGACTCAGACACGCATCCCATATTTAGTGACTGGAAGTTGCAAGATTTTGAAAGTAAAACACATCCGAATTCAAGTTTTGAATTGAATTTTTCCAATATGTAAATATTACATTGTTTCATTTTTTGAATTGGTAAAAAAAATCCGCTTGAGAATCAATTATGATGCGCATGAAAGGCTTTATAATTTTGAAAAATTGAATACTTGCCTGTGATGATCGCCCTCTTTGAAGTGAATGTGTGCGTGGTACTTGAGTGAATTAGGGTGCTAAAAAATGCAGTCCTGCTAAAAATCGAAATTTCTAGTTTTAATTGACCATTATTTTTTCTACCTTTTAGATAATGGTAAAAATTCGAAATTTGTTGTTGTTTAAACTTTAAACCTAAGCAACAAAGAAATTTCAATTTTTTAGCTGGCCTGACGAATTTTTAGCCCCTTGTGACATGCATGGAGAACTTTGTCCACAACTGGAAAGTTTTTACTTATCATGCGGTTAATTTAAAAATCCAGAAAAATCCCAGAACCTAACAGCATCACGGGCTGTATCCTAATTGATTTTCACAGTCATACCTACTTCAGAAATAACAGAGGTCGTGCCCAAGTGTGACAACCCTCGTATGGTATTTCCACTTCTTGAAGCATCACGGAAATTGTATAAGTATGTTAGCAGCTTCATTCCCCACGAAACTTTGAGATCGTTTTGAAATATATAGTTAACTATCATAGGGTATACAATACTGTATAACACTAAGCCATGTCCATTGTCAGAAGCGAAAATCGGTGGAAGTCCTAGTCCATTATCCGAGGTATACCTGGAAAGTAAAAATAACAGTATTTTGTTTTTGTTTCTATACGTAGTCAAGAACCCTTGGATCTTCAAATCGATTACTGGTTGAGCCCGGGAACGTTGCGCCTGGGGATCGGCGCCGGAGAACGTGGGGCGGACCGTGGTCTGGACAGTGGTCGTGGAGAAGAACGAGGCGGGGTGCGGAGTTTGGGCGGATCTCGCGGTGACGGCGCAGTGTCGACGGCGGACGCTGAAAAGAGCGCCAAGGGCGGCGGGAAGTGCTCACTGCGCGCCAGTTTTCGGAGTCTCATTATCCAGCGTCAGCCTGCTCTGGGCGAAACCAGCGGCTCGCACCACTTTACCATGACCTACTCGCTCAAGGAGAAAAAGCAAAAAAGTTTGTGTTTCACCCGAATTTTTTTCTTTTTCGTGATGACAGTTTTTAAATCGTGGGGGAAAAAAGGGGGGCGGGATGAGGACCTGATAATGTCTGCAGAATTTCGGTAGAACCTTTTTTTTTCGCATTTTCTTCGAATGCTTCGTCGAGCCTGTCCTGACTTTTGGAGAAATGTTCGCCAACCAGCTTCAGAAAAGAGACGACGAGTATAGATTGAAATCAATGTCCCGATGTCCGATACTGGAGGCATTTTCCACGTGTTCGAGGATGAATCCCAGTTATTTTTCACGTGATAAATAATGGCCAGAAATTATGCTATACAATCTTAAATGTGACCCAGAATAAGTTGAAGTGACGAAAATGTTTCGATGTTGGGAACTTCCCGGGTCCCGTATCCTAAGTATTGGTTAAAAAATTGAGGACGCTCCCTAGTTTCGAGGATGGTAAAACTTCGGAGATGCGGGTGACGCGTTTTCACTGTACTTGAAAACAAGTCTACGAGACTGATGTTATTATATTTATTTATAATGTACTCTATTGTTTTCCCCCGCGCAGATGTGATACAAAGACTTGGCAAAAAGAAGTCAGAAAAGGAATCAGAAGGCAAAAGCATTACCGTTGAAGGCATCAATCGTCTAGTCTGCATGGCGAGGGCCCAGAACAGTCCTCTCAGAGGTTTGTGTTCTACTTGTAATTCTTCAAATGTGTTTCTCGAATGAGATCCATTTTTGGTTATTTTGTGTATATATTCTTCCTTTTTTTCAGTCACGATTGATGGGATGGAGTGGTCTGGAGTGAAATTCTTCCAGCTGTCGTCGCAGTGGCAAACGCATGTCAAGCATTTCCCCGTAGCAACTATTGCTCCGCTAAGTCACGTGTTGGGGGACAGGTGAAGCAATCGTGTGTGTGTGTTTGAGGGATACTTCGCACTAGCTGCAGCTTTCGGTTTATAAAGAAAAAAAGGAAAAGAATGCACAGGATTTCTCATCAAATTTTGCGGCTGGGAGAGGAAATTTATTTATTTAAGAGGACCCGTTGCCTAGAAAGTTTTTCGTAATTTTTCCCAGTCGCATTACTGCATTGGATTCCCTCAAATTGGCCTGGCCAAGTTTATAAAAAGAAAACTTCTGATTCTGCAGTTGTGTTCGATCATGTGACCGTTTTTCTTTCTGGCGAAGAAAGCAATATTTTTTTATTTTGCTGCGTGAATAATGGCTGTATTTTAATACCAAAAGTGGGGGGGAAAGCTTATCAGCCCTTCGGCGTCTGTTACACTTGAGCCTATCTCTGTAGTTTCAAAAATGAATCGCTGCGTCTGCTGTGAAGTGATCCCATTTTTCTCTGTTCGTGTTTTTTCATTTCTTCGGAAGCGTGTGAAATTGTTTCTTAGTCCGAAGAAAAATTGTTGGTTTGTCAAACTGCGCTTTATATGAAGTTTTAGCTCTCTGTCGGGAATAGTCAATATTTCTTTGTTTTTTTTTTTCGAAGAAGATCTCCCTGAGTTGTGTCCTTACGTCGGGGGACTTTTGTTTCCTTGTGTGATGAGTTTGAATCCGGTATTTTTGGTCTGTCTTTAGCCGCTGTTGGGTCACCTTTTTTTCAGTTTTCCTGTGAAACGAATGTTTTGATTGGGATCTGGGAGAGATTTGTAGGCAGAAAAAAAAGAGAAGTGGACAGTTATGTTGGGAGGGAAAAGTTTTTACTGCAGATCTTCCAAATTTTAATTGCTACGTTTTCTAGTAACGCGGACAAACAGCTGTGATTTTTTCTTGTTGGCAAAAAGGGCGTAGTGCAGAAGGTGGGAGGGGTTTTTTTTCAAATGGAGGGTGGATTTTTTTTTGTAGGGAATTTTTAGGAACGAGAAGCTTGCTTTCATTTTTTTTTTCTTGGATGTCACGCTTGGATGCTTAGATAGTTTTTTTTTCTTTTGGAGTAGTTAATGCTGGATGTTTTGGTAGGGGAGAGGAGCTGTGCTGAATTTCTGAGCTGTTAATTTGCTGCGTTGAATGATGACTTGGATGCCGTTTTGAAAACATTTTGCAACTCCGTGAGTCGAAGTGGAATTCTTTTCGAGTTTCGCTTCTTCAAAATCTTCATTCAGAAACTTTCGTTTTAATAAGAGCGTTCAGGGAGCCATTAGAAATTCCATGTAGAATACCTAGTTTTACAAAATAAGACCGATTTGGTGTCGATAGTTTTCTCTTGACATTGTACGAGGGCTTATTGGTGTCGGTCCAGATTTATCCAGATGCTGAGAACGACGAAGTTTGACAATAAAATTTGTCTCACATCACTTACAATTGATCTTGCCTTGAAAGTTTTGAGGATGGGGAGAGATTTCAAGTAAGATTTGAATTTGAGTTAGAACGAAAACTTATGATTAGGCCAAGGAGAGCTACTAGCATTAAAATATGACTTGTAAGATTTAATAAATGGCTGCGTTTTATTTTTGGAGGAAAACAGGCATTGAATCACATGGGCGTTCATCTAACCAAAAAAATTGAACGCCGTCTAAAATGCTAGACTTCTTGGCTTCGTGATCCATTTTACTGTTCCTTGGCCTATTGAGCCATCTTAAATTGTTCCTATATTTAATTGGAAGCTGTTTTTTGAAACACTGGTGGAAAGAGAATGATTCATTTCGTGTTGATTTTAAATGAAAATTTATATCGTCAAGCGACAGATTGATGCCAGTCATACACAGTGTCTAGAAAGAATTTATGCATCGGCCGAAGATTTTTAGTACAGTACAGTACATGTATTTCGTGCATGAGTATCATCTTGATCATTCGTTATCAAACAATGCGTAGAATTTTCAGGAAGAAGCCTGAGATTGATGCGAGTGAATTATTCATTTCGGCATAAGTTAAAGTTCTCCATTGAACACGAATCCAATTCCCGATGTATGAATGAATTTGGTTCGTGTGGAACTTGTATTGCATGGAATTTTCCGAGAGGGAAGCTCGTTGAAGTACGATCATTGCTGATATTTTGTTTTGTCATTCTTCCGAATCCGCTGAATAGAATTTTGAATCGACGATGAAATTCACCCGCGACTGGTTCTTATATTTCCTCCGCCGTAAATAACCCGAGTATTTCGCTTCAATTTCTTCTCGATTTCAAAACGGCTTCTAAAAATTATTCATTGAAAGCATTTTCTGACGCAAGAAAAAAGTTGGAAATGTTTCGGAGGCGGTCTTCGTGAGAGCGATTTGTGTATCCTTGTATGTCCTGCAAAAAAGGGAGGGTTGCACTGTGTAGTTCGTAGCGCAAAGCTTTTGCTTGATATACCTGCAAATATTTATTGTTGCTGCTAGGAACCTTGGCCCGGGGGCAAAGACACAGGAAATCGTATTTCCTGGGACGTCTCTCGGTTGGAAAAACCGTCACTGGCACGCGACTGAATCATGGTGTTCTTATGTACTGTGCTCACACTATACCTCTGTGAGATTTTATGGATCTGAGGGAAAAGGATAATTAGCTGAGGAAAAGAAGAAAGGGTTTTTTTTGTCGACGTGAGATGAAAAGAGAGGGAAAAAAGTCCTAGTGGTTAGCATTGAAATCCTGATGCAGAAGTATTTCTTGCGGTTTTCCGTTTTTAAATTGCCGCCAGAAAGTGGAAATTTGTCGATGGTTTACAATTCGTTTTTTTTTTCAAGTGAGAAAAAAGTTGGATGCACTTGGTTGAAAGAATAGAAGCTTTGTTACAGGAGTTACCAGATGGACAGACGAAAGAGAAATCACTTGAACGGTTCCTGCGTGCATTACTGCTGCTGTAAATGCGAAGCTGGATCGAGTTGGGTTACTTATTCTGGGCGCAGGCATTTTGTTTTATCCCCTTGAGTTATTTTTGAGCATTTCTGATGTTCGTGGAATTGATGTTATGCTGCCTGTTCCAGTTTCAAGAATAGACGAATTTCAATTCGGAAACTGTTCCCTTATTTTGAAGCGGAGCATGCGTCCCTGAACAAGATATGTTAATTTATTGAAAGAAAATTGAAACTACATTTCTTTCATTCCAAATTGAACTTGAGTACAATGTGCAAACATTTTTCTTGCAAAAATGTACTGTACAGTACTGCGAAAATATTTTTGTGCTAGTCCAGTGAACTCGATGTCTATCCTTGGTGCAAGTGTGTGTGTGTGTTTTTTTATGATCATATTGAACTATTTCCCATGCTAAACCGTAATTAATTCCTAGTGTGTAATTTTAGTGTTTCCTTTTTCTGAAGAAGCTTAGAGTTCATGACTTATTGAGGTAGAAACCATAAGAACGAAGTTTAAGAACCAGTTGCTGGTTGATGAACTATGGCATAGTTTTGTACTGTACAGATTTTCATTCACTCCTAGGATCAACCACCTGCATCAATTTTACAAGATTTGTGTGGGAACAACTGATGGATAGCAACACCCCTTTCCACTCAAGGGTGGGTTTCGTCACACCACACATAGTCCGTGCTATAGATTAACTGCAGTGAAAGAATTATACAGTATAGTTTTTGTTTGGATGCAGATTGCAATAATTCAGCAGGTTTGTAGCCGCAGAAACGAATGTGATGTGATTATGGATTAAATGAAAACGCATAATCATTATTGAGCACGTACTTTTTTATATTTCTAGTGCAAAACATACAACCCCATGATTTATTTGTGGATTCAAATGTTTTTATTGGAACTTCCCCCCCCCCCCCCCCCCCGAGAAAAGGACGATGCCCCCGAGATCGGTTCACGGAGTGAGTCAGAAAAACAATGATCTCGCGCCGATTGTAAACACGACTGTTGCCCCCCGAGGGGTTTGTCCGGATGATCAAAACACAAAACAGGTTCACTGACCGAATAACGCAAAGTAGGTTCATCGACCGAAGCACACAAAGCAATAGGACGCGCGTACGAATGTTCAAAAACATGTCCGACAAGGGAGGATTTCCCTGTATCAGGGCAGATCAGTCCAAGTTGTTTTTCATAGCCTGGGATAGGGGCTTGGGGAAGTCCACGAAATGGTACCATCTCCCAGGCGTTGACCCGACGGATGTTAGGGCCGGCTCCCACCCAATATTCGCCTTGTCCTTTGTCTGCGATGACTACAAAAGGACCGAGTTTTTGTATCCTGAAACGTTGGTTGGCTGCATGGCGCTCAACTGTGGGAAGACGAGGAAAGATTGCGATTACGTCACCCGGTTGGAAGTGTGGTAACTTCTTCTTGTTAGCCTGTGCAATAAATTTCTCCCTCTGAGTGGCCACGTGTTGGTGAATCTCCTCGAGTCGTTGATCCAAATGTTTTCGCTCGACGTTATACTTGCGATCCGCGTTGAGGATGGTCGGGATGCGGAGCATGGCTTCAGTAGGGGTAACCCCAGTTGTCGAGTGGGGTGTCGAATTATACGCTTGAACCGATTGGTGGATGTGTTTGGCCCAGGTCAACTCATTCTCGTTGACCGCTTTTGCTTGAATTTGTCCAAGGGTGCGGATGGCGCGTTCACAGCACCCGTTGCCTTCCGGATGGGAAGCTTGGGCGATATGCTGTTTAATATGTGCCCCTTGTAAAAAATGCTTAAAGGCTTTGCTGCGAAAAACAGAATCGGCATTAGTATGAATCGTTTCGAATGATCCAAGTTGACGGCAGAGATCAGCTAAGAAAGGAATAACAGTCTAGGTGTTAGCGGCGGGAATGGGTTTCACACACATATACTTTGAAAAATGGTCAACAGCAACGATGACGTATTTATAACCTTCGGGAGACGTCGGTAATGGTCCATAAAAGTTGACGACAAGTCTTTCCAATGGGCGAGATGATTCTATCGGTGACAGGATCGTGCCAATGCTCTGGGTTGGTTGATTGAATCTGAAGCAAGTAGTACAGTGGATGATTCGTTGCCAGATTTGCTGACGCATCCCGGGCCATTGAAAACGATCGCGCAAAGTCAGGTAGATCTTCTTCCAGCCAGCGTGTGCGAGTTCAAAATGGTATTCGTCGATAATCTGCTCGCGTTCAGCTTCCGCTGGTGTTGGTTTGACGTCGATGGAGTTTAGAGTAATCCGGCTGAGGGCGTCAGGTCCTTGCAGAAATCGTCCGGGTCGATGGACTAAATTGAAATTAAATCCTGCTAGTTTCGAGTAGAGACTTACGGCGCGTTCGGTCTGTAGATTGCCAAGTAACGCTTTGTGGTCTGTGTTGACTGTGAAGCGCCGATGGAGTAGATGGTGTTTAAATTTCTTGGTGAGGCTCCAGATTACCGCAAGGAGTTCGCGTTCCGTGTTGGTATATCGAGTCTCCGTGTCAGTGAGAACTCGACTAGCGTATTCGATGATGCGGTGTTGTCCACAGTCGTCGGTCTGTATGAGAACCGCTCCGAGGCTAATGGCCGATGCATCGCAATGAACCGATATAGGTAGTTGTGGGTCAATGCGCTCGAGTTTCGAAGCCTCAGCGAGAGACAACTTGAGCTTCATGAAGGCTTCCTCCGCCTCGGTTGTCCATTTCAGACGGTTATCTGGTTTTTTAGGAATGATAGAACGAAGTACCTTCTCGGAATCAGCAAAGTTGGTGGGGAGATGGGCCCTGAGGTAGGTAGCCATTCCCAGGAACTGTTGCATCTGACAAGTCGTAGACAGCTGGGGATAATCACGAACGGCGTCGACGTTACGTTCCGCAGGACGAGTTCCTGTTTGGTCGATAATATGCCCCAGAAAGAGAGTCTGTTTAGCAAGAAAGGTAGACTTCTTGAGATCAATAGAGGCACCTGCGTTGTGCAGCGTCTGAAGCACTTTGCTAAGGTTCTGGCAGAGCGTTTCAAAAGAATCACCAAAGACGAGAACATCGTCGACGTACGCGAGGCATTTCTTAAAAAGGTGCGGTCGTAAGATCGTGTTGATAGCGCGCTGAAACATTGCTGGACCGTTTTTCAACCCAAAGGGGATTACCTTGTATTGTACTTGGCCGCGGGGCAACATGAAGGCGGTCTTCGGTCTGTCGTCTTGGGCGATGGGGAGATTATGGAAGGCATCATGCAGATCGAGTCCACAAAAGTACTTGTTCTCCCGACCGAGGGCGTCAATCAGTTCTTGTACCACCGGCATTGGATAGTGGTCATCGAGAATCAATTTGTTGAGTTCCTTGTAATTGACCACTAGTCGGAAACGCTTGTCGATCGGCGCATCCGGAGTTGCGCCCTTCTTGTTAATTAAGAACGCTGGCACATTGTAGGGCGAAGCAGCCATTTCTAAAATACCCGCTGCAAGGTAATGATCAATTAATTCCGCGAAAGGCACGTTACGTTCGACCGAGTGACGATAATGGCGAGTCGCGGGTGGTGGCGCGTCCACCGTCGGAATACGAACGACGTGGTCAACAAATAAACCTCGTTTCCCTGACCATTGTCGGATGGTCGGTGCATGAGCCCGTAACATAGCAGCTATGCGTGCGCGTTCGTTGTCGGAGCCGTCAATAAAGGTAATGCCCTCACCCACCGCGAGTGTTGGTTGGGCGGGCGAACGGGTGATCTCGCGAAACCCGGTAAATACGCGTTGACCGTTGATGGTGATCGCGACGGGAAGATGCAACAAAAGAGTACGACCGAAGATAAAATCATAGTCCTATAACCGAGGTAAAACTAAAAAGTTTGACTGATACTCGATTCCGTGAAACGAAAACTGGATCTGAGCGACGCGCGTAACTGTAACAGCGTTAGGACCCAGGGATGTGGAAATAGAGGTTTGGGTAGGGGTACAGGGTAGGTTCAGGGTATTAATAAGGGATTCAGATACATACGAGTGGGAGGCACCTGTATCAAGAAGACCGGTAAGTTGTCGATCCAGCAGTTTGACGGAGAGAACCACTGGAGGAGGAGAGGCGGAGAGAATCGTCGAAGCGCAGTGTGCCGCATTCACTGAGCCTACTTGGAGTTTTCCTGAAACTGCGGACAATCTCGGAGCATATGACCGGTTTTTCAACAATGGAAGCAGACCGGAGGATTGTCAGAATTTCGATGAGAACCGGATGCACGCGTTGACTGCAAAGTGGACGCAGCAGCGGGTGGTTTGGACAAACCTGAATCCGATGAAGACGAGTTTTCGGACGACTGGTTTGGACGTAAGCAACATTCATGTGAGCCATGACTCATATGTCGCTTGTGGTGATCGCACCACTGACAAGGAGGTAGGTTGAGACGGGGCCTGGAACCGGACTTCTGGGTATTGTTGTTTGACGAGGTCTTCTCTGTCTGGTCACAATGATTTAGCCGATAAGCCTCGGCGATGTCGATGAGCTCGTCCCACTTCATGTTGCGGTTTTTCAGCCACTTGCGTCGTAATTCGTCCCATAAGCCCCCCTCGGAGATTTGCAGAAGTTGTTCCATGAAGATCTGCTCCAAAAGGGGTTCTGTGGCGTCAAGAAGATCAGCAGACAAGGGTAAGAAGGTTTCGTATTGATCGCATAGACGTTCGGCGAAGGAGATGTAGCTTTCACCCTCTTGTGGTTTCATCCGACGAAACGTGTCGAGCCGGTCGAGATGTGGCGTGGGATGGCGGCTTGCGATTGCCGCAACAAGAGGTTTGAAGCCTGTAATTCCACGTTTGTATAGACGATGAGCCGTACCTTGTATTTCCGGAAGTGTGTTGTCCATGAGGCAGCGTACACGATGTCCATCGTTGATGTTGTCAATGTCAAGACGATTCCTGAGTCTCATCGCGTAGTCTTCGAATTCTTCTTCGGCCTGTTGCTTGGGGAGCTCTGGAATCTGCGGCTCCGCGAACCAGCGGGGTGGTTGTGCAGGAAGACATGCGACCGGACCCGATGTGGGGACGTGGACGAACGGTGATGACTGCGACGACGTCTGGTGCTGCGGTGGAACGGTGAAGAGAGCGGAAAGAGGTACCTGGAACTTGTCAAGATGCAGGGCGTATTCGGTCTTGGTGAGGATGTCTGGATGCCCAAGTCGGTACGTCTCGGAAAGGAACTGCAAAGTAGACAGCGGCAAGGATTCCCATACGCTGGACGAGGACGAGGAGCCGGACGAGGCGGACGTGATCATCAAACAAGATGAGCCTGCCGGGGTCTTGACGGGAATCCGTGGTGGCTGTAACGGTCTGGCTGGTAGCGGCTGGGGTGTCGGATTGATGTTCGGGGCGGGAGTCTCGTTGTCCGGAACATTGCGATTTTGTTCGGATTGTGTCTCCATTTGTAAAGCCCAGGCAGCAGCAGCGCGTGAATTTTCGGTATTGCGGACCATCAACTGAAGTATGTCTCCGTGAAGAAATCACTGGATGGCTCGAGCCCCCAATAAGTGTTGTAATAAATAGTAGACCTTTCTCCACGAACACACTTGTAATATTTCTTGAAGTCAGCAACACAAATAACACTCAGGTCAAAGTTAAGAGATGATGTCCAGTCAAGAGCTAAAGTCAGAATGCCAGTCCTCTCCTGCCGTCCGAGCCTCCTGCGGTGGTTCCTCCGATGGTGCAAGAGATAAGAAAGAACTGGGTGGGTTCTTGGGACGTTTGGACTTTCTCCAGTAAGCTCGCCTAGGTGTCGCTCTAGTTGGTAAGGGAAGGGCCTTACTGTTTACCTTCCTGCAATCCTCGTGGACAACGATGGAGTTTGTTTCTACCGAGGAAAAGAGAAAAATTACGGTCGTTGCTTAACGCGAATGATTGATGATATCGTGTTATTTCCGGAGAATAATCTGGGATGTGTATTCATTCTCTGACACGTGCCGCACCGTTTCCTGAGCCATGTGTGACCGCGGGATACATCAGAAAATGCCCGTTGGATGTGCGCCTGATCTGATTTAACGGCTCACGGCGTCATTTGCGATGAGTGGATTGCGAAGGTGAAGAATCACATATGATTAACAGAAATAAAGTCAAACTTCATCTGTCCGCAACGCCTTTCAATCGAAGGGGCAGCAAGATGCGAGTGACGAATTCAAGCCAGTTAAGCTATGGCAACGGCATATGGAATCTTAACGACGACACTCGTGCCGAACTTGCTAAGAGCTTGGAGTTGATGTCAATCCCCCGCCCTCGAATCGGTGGGAATCGCAAGCCTCAGGAGGACTGGTCCATTCCGCTGGCATTTTGCGATGAACGTCATATCGAGGATGTGCTTGGACTTGGAACAATTTCGAATTGTTGGAGAATGAAGGAGAGGGTTAGTGAATAGTTATTTAGTGCTGAAGAGATTTCTGACCAAATTTTTGTTTAATCAATATTTTTCAAGATGAAAACCGTGAGTGTTGCGCTGGTCATGTGCCTTCGCATTGGAATCGATCCACCAGACGTCATCAAGACTCACCCCTGCGCACGTCTTGAATGTTGGATTGGTGAGTTAATCTGGACTCGTGACTAGAGGCTAATCACGAACGTTGTGCACATGTCATGATCTTATTGTTTTCGTGCCGAACTTCGGCGCATTATCCAATCAAAGCGTCAAG